TCCTAGCTAATCTAAATCTCCTGGCACAGCAGAACAGATGATGATTGGAAAAAGGAAAAATATCAATTTAGCAGGCAAGTTTGCCGGAGTGAGTGTGGGGGAGGTTTCTCCCGGGCTGTGTGGGTAGTGCAGCCTTGTGTTTCTGCACAGCCTGGATTAATTGCTTTGGAGGGGTGCTCTGGAGGTGAGATTTCTCTGCGGCCCACCAAAATTTTCTCACGGCCCACCAGTTGGCGACCACTGCTTTAAGAGACAGGGTGGTTGAGATAAATGGGTCATTTACCAGAAAATTGAAGAGGCAGCCAGCTGCTGAACATCTCTCTGACATTGCCACCTTGTTTTACCCAATAAAGAAATTAGATATTTTAAATTGAATGTGAGTGTGCTTGTACAAGCTGAGATACTAAGGAATCAATGCTTAAATCCACTGGTGAAGCAAGAGAGGTAATCAGGTTGGAAGAGAATGAACAAGGTTCAAAATATAATTCTATTAAGAATCTTGTTTAATTTAGAAATTTGAACTAAGGGAACAGCAAGAACTAGCACTCAATATCCAGACTTATAAAGTTGCCATAGGTTTGCCTGAAAAGAGAGTTATTGGACAATTATCTCTTATTTAGCATCCCTGTTCCTCTCACAATCTCCAAATGAGAGAGCACTCCATCTTTCTATACAGAAAGAGAAACTGGCTGTCCTACATGAAAGCAGAGTAGAGAATATGGGAGTAAATACAAAATAGACAGTATATGGCTTAACATTCTAGGGTCGCTCAAGATAAGTACATTGTTAGCTACCTAATGGGAGCTGCATGTAAAATATGACAATTCTGCGGTAACTTAAATGGGTATACTTCTCTTTGCTATTCCTGTCTTCCTGCTCCATCCTTGTAGCAAGTGGACTCCAGTCAGATCCGCAGGTCCTCTGCTGCTTCCGGATCTTCCCAGTCAAGTTACCGAAGTCCGAAAGATGCTCTACGCCATCGCATATTGCACTTGTCTGAATTGCTGCGAGTGGAGAAGGCCAATCGTGATGACAACCTTTCCACTTATGTGGAACTGGTAGGCAAAGCTGATAGGGAAAAGGCACCCTCCATCCGTCAAGCATTTGAACGTATCAACCAACGCTCCTCGGCTAATATTGCTCATCTTGAACAGCGTCTGCAGGATTGCTTAACCCAACTGAAGAGATTAGAGCAGAAGAATTTATCACCTGCAGACAGCAGTCCCTCTCCCCCACCCCAAACTCTCAAGGTCAATGTGGCCCACCAAGGGCCATATAACATGTTCAAGTTCCGCCCTACAGAAGCTCCTCTAATAGAAGAATGCTCCATCCCAGAGAGCACAGAAAATGAGTCAATCATAGAAGCAGCCCCAAAGCAGTATCTTGAAGAGGAGGCAAAAAAGAAGCTCCAGGAGCTGAGGAGCCAGATCACGGAGCTAAAGGAGTATCACAAAGTCCTGGACAGTCAGAGGAACATGTTAGACGAAGCTTGGAAAGCTGATAAAAAGCAAATTATGGAACTCCTACAGGAGGAAAAGAAAAGGTGGGCATCCACATTCTTGAGAAGAGTGGTTCCCAGTATTCCATTTCCTTCCCATCGCAGGCTTGATTGTCCCTGGTGTCCTGTTTCCTCCTGAGACTCATTCTCTTAGAACATCACAGCTTTATCTTTAGTGACAAATCCACCATGTCTTTCCTGGATGTGAAACTCTTTGCTTCATATGCCACACTCACACAAATAAGCAAGCAGTTACTAATGTAGTATCATAATACAGACCATAACTTGCCTATTTCTTCTGATCTTCTCCATGCTTTATTGACATTACTTAGAAACTTCTTGTTTTCTTGTGCTATGAAAAGGGCATAGCCACAATCTCCTTAGCCAGGAGGATTGTTGCAATATTTTTTTATTAGAAAAAGATCCATCTTGTATGCAGAAGCATGTAGAGAATGAGAACATTTTTACAACAATTAATCCACTTGGGATATCTTCACTGTTGTCACTCCACATTTATTGATGTGCTTTCAAAGCAAAGCAGAAACACACTAGTACTGGGTTGGTTTCTTTGCTGGTATTTTCCATCCCATTATCCTCCAATCAGATTAGATTAGATTAGATTAGATTAGATTATAACTAAAATAGACTATTTAAAAGATTCATTTCTAAAAAAGTAATTTCAGTGAATGAACAGATAATTCTTCATATTTTTCTTTAAAAAATAATAAAATAATGTACCTACTGCATGACATAAGAGACCAGACTGATGGCTGAGTAACCATTCCATTTGCTAGTAAATATCTCTGTTATTTTTGTTATGTAGCCAAAAGGAAGTCAATCATTGCAAATAAAGAAATTTGAGTTCATATTTATTATGTCTATTTTTACCTTCAGATAATTTCATGTAGATAAAAGAATATCTGGTAGAGAACTGTTCAGAAGCATATTTAGCATAATAATTCAGCCTACCAAATTGTTCATCTACTTGTTGTCACATCTTTGGCAGCAATACTGCCTTTCTAAGTTCCAATCCTCACTGGGTTCCCAAAAGTATTTTTTCCCACCAGTATTAGTTTCAGTGCTTTGATGTACCCCAGAATGTTTGGTTTCTTTTGTTTTCACATTCCCAAACCCAGATGGCACTGAATACTTGTAATCCTCTCTCCTCCCTTTTCCAATCCAGGATGAGCATAGACACCCATTTCTTGTACTAGAAGTGTCAAATCAGGAAGCAGAGCCAGATCATTATAATCCATTTATCCAGCAATGCCTAAAGTGGTGACTGTAACAAGATCAACCAGTTGGCTGGGGGGTGGGGGGGGGGGAAGGGGAGGGAAAAAGGACTTAGAACACAGGATCAGATTACAGAACCTGACTTAATGCCACCCTTCTTCAGGCACTATAACCTGGAAATACAAGTGAATGATGCAGTACAGCTAAATCTCAATGAAATCACCAACCTCAAACATGATCTGGCCTGCACTGAGGAGAAGATGGTGTATCAATCTTATGAGAGGTCCCGGGATGTCTGGGTAAGAGACTGCTTAACTAAATGCATAGGTGCTGTGCACACTATTGTTCTTGGAGCAAGGAACAGGACATTGGAACAGGTTACATGAGGCTAGCTTGACAGAGTGCATAGAAATGGAACAAAAGGAAAAATTGTAATATCCCATCTTGCTCAATAGGCTATGCCAACTGTCTTTAGAGAGAGAGAGCAGTGCATTTTTGCAAAAAGAAATGAAGGTTGCAATGACTGTCAATGTAGGGTGCCAGAAAACTCAGAGGATGAAGGATTATAGAACAATGTTATAAGTGATACAAGCACTTGCACTGTTATTTTGTCTGCTGATAAGATCACCATGAACCTGCTTTTGCACATGCTGCAACTTCAGTGTGTTAGCATTGGTAATACACAATAAGTGGGCTCTACAACAAAATATTGCATTGTGCCTTCCCCTTTTGTACAAGTCAGCATTCTATGACCAATGAGCATAGTATTAATTGGGCTGTTTTGAAGTCCCCTCAACATTTTTCCTCTAAAGTATTTCCTCTTGTGCATTTGTAAACCCTGGCAGTCTTCTGAACTTGTTGGCATCTGGGTAGGCATAGCGCCACTTGGGTTACCCAGGAGCCAGAAAACCGATCTTCCTCTTCGCAGATATAAATAGAGCCATCAAAAAATTAGAGCATGTGAACCTGCAAATGGCAGGTGAAAAATAACACTGTGGAAATCCACCTGGGATTAACTAAATCAGTGTCTGGAAATTGGCTGGTCTTGTCCTGACCTCTTGTTTTTTCCTTGTCTTTGTGGTAGGAGGTGCTGGATTCCTACCAGACCCGACTTGCCAAACTGGAACAGCAGCAGCAAGCCCAACAGCAGGAGGCAATGGATATGCCCCAGGCCAGTATGTATAAGCTTTATGGACAGCTCATGAACCTGCTATTGACCATTGCTGCCATTATCCTGGTGTTTTTTTCAACAATTTCAGCTTTTATAGTTCCTCTTCTGCATACTCGTATGCGGGCCATGTCCACTCTCCTTGTGATTACCATCATAACTCTTGCATGGAATTACTTCCATGACATCATTGAGTCAGAATGGAAAACATGGCTTCCTTCATCTTGACAGTCAGACAACATTGGTATCACTATTTCTGTACCTATGCTGCAACTAAGCAGCTTCTCAACAATATAACTATTTATTTGTTTATTAAAATAAAAAAAAGTAGTCTGTCTTTCTGTTCTTTCTTTTCTCCTTAATTGTTTCTATAGGTATGGAGAACTAAATTACAAACCTGCTTGAAAGACAACTTCACATGACAATCCACCTCTGAATTCTAGCATCCCAGATGAGCTGAAAAACATTGCAGGAAACTTGAATGTGGTGTGGAGGTTCAACTTTTGGAGAGGAAGAGAGGAACATGTGCATGCACATATGTTGTGTATATGGAAGCATGATTGCACATGAAAGAAAATAAATGGAATTTTGTAGGTTTAAATCCTTGTTTAAGCTATTCAGCCCACAATTTTTTTGGTACCTGAGACAGGAAATCCTACTGCATTTTAATAACAGAAAATATTTCCTTCAGTTCTCATCTCATCAGTTAAGGTTTGCACAAGAAAGCTTCCCAAATGTTCTATCTCATTGCTCAGATTTGCTTCTCTTACACTTTTCTGCTGTCAGGGGTGACCCATATTCTTCAGTTTGAGCTACCAGTTTCACCCTGTTTGATTTCTACAAATATCCATTGTCAAAAATTAAAATTACGTTTTGTTATTTCTCTTTTTCCACTAATCCTCAGTCAGTATATTGGCAGCTAAGGCAAATTCCCACATGCTTGGATACATTTCAAGCAATACATATTGTGGACAAAATGTAGTGTTTCACAACATCATTTGTAAGATACAAGCTCAGCTTTTATACAGAAGGTAAACATTTTTGTACATTAATTTATTCTGTCTCACTGCTGTAAGGTTTTTAAAAATAATTTTACCAATTGCATTTCTAGCTAAATAACCCATGGAACATGGGTGATTTTAATATCAAATATTATGTACAGAGTGGGTCCTGTTTAGCCATGCTGAGGAGATATACAGAGTTCTGGGATGGCCAAAGTGCTAACGGCAAGTTCTCATCTATGATTTCTGCCAGAATTATGTTTCCTCTTAGGCATAGCTAGAAATCAGTATCTCCAAACATGCTGAGGCACAGAAATTGCAGGGAACAACTTCATTCTCCAGCCTCCTTTCAATAAACTCCCTGCACCCACCCAAACACTTCATAAGAGGGGCAGAGCAAAAGATAATCAAAATAGAACTGCTGTGGCTGATGTCTAGATTATCACCTTTTGTGGATACATCAAACTATCTACCCATTCATAGGAAGTGGCATCTTGAAGATACTCATCTTCAAATCTTCAAATCTTAGAAGATTCTCTATATAAAAAAAGGGGGGGGGAATAGACTTGCTTCACAAAAGTCATAAACTTTCCACAGGAGCCCCCTTTGTTCTGCCTCTCTTGCAGTCCGAAGGATAAGTGAAAGATTAATTAAAGATACAATGATAGGGGATGAAATCAACAATCAAAACAACCTCTGAATCCCCAGGAAAATATCAGACAGATGGAATATTTGAATATAGAGATATGACCTTTTCATTGCCACCTCTTAAACAATTCTGAAAGGAAAGCGGAAACACCTCCCTCTCCCTAGGAGAAATAGAAGCACCCAACCTGGGTCACAGTCTTAAGTCCAAGGAACGGGTTTGTGCAATAGCAGCCCAATATGTTAGATATGCATAGGGAATCCATATGCTGCGGAAAGGAGGAGAAATTCTCACTAGGGCTCTCCTGGGAGGCAGAACTGTCTTGATATATATCAAGAAAGAGCTCTTATGCCGGTGATACAGAAGAGTTAGAGGCAGATGAGACTTCAGTGCGGGAAGTAGAAGAAAGTTCAGAACCATCATCCACTTTCTTGCCAAAGAGCTGCATTATGCAATTACGGAACTGCCAGGAGACAGACAAATGTCAATGAGCATTTACAAGTTCTACCCTTTTCCACCACATACAACATAATCCCCAAATGATATAACCCACACACCCCAGTTGCTTTCCGTTCAATACTCTTAATCCGCCCGTCTCTCTCAATTCCAATAATTTCCAGCTATTCCACTGGGGCAAAGCAAATTACCTGTCTGTTCATGAAGACATAGATAATTGGGTTGTAAATGGTGGCGCTTTTTGCAAAGAAGGCAGGTAGGGCAGCTGTCAGGGGGTGAAAGGCATAGCCTGGATTGGCAGCAGCAAAACAGGCAAAAAATGTATATGGTCCCCAGCAGACAATATAGGCAATGATCATGACCACTACCATCCTTGACACTTCCTTCTCAGCCTTCTGTGTGGATTCTGACTCTTTCTGCTGGGCTGCAACCTATGAGAGAAAAGAAAGAAGTAAGGCCAACAAGGTACATCTCAGATCCCTAGGTGTGATTTGGAACAAGAGAGAGAAAGGAGTTTACCACAGAAATTGGATCCAGATTAAATTTGTATGTGGATATCCTTTTATAAGTAAAATAATATAAGCAGAAGTATGGAGAAGATGAACTAAAGAAAATTGGAAATCATTCCTGGCAAAGGTCTTATTAGGAAACTGAGATTAGCCAGAGGACTTTTATAGAAGTGGAGATCACGTTAGGGGAACTATCTAGGTATATATTGGTAGTGAGGAGGTCTTATTTGTGTTGCAATGTGATTAAGGATTTTCAAGTACAGTGACAGAATTGCGGCTTCATTAACAATTGATTAATTCTCTATATAGCTATCAATTAGAGACTCTATAGCAGTGATACTTTAATTTGGAAGAAAGTGTGCTTTATAAGAAAGAGAGATCCAGTCACAAGGGACACGAAGGAGGGTGCTAAAGGAAAGGAAGGATATATGACATCTATGATATAATACAATGTGTGTATTTACCGCACGGATAGCCATCCACACTTGCAAGTAACAAATAATGATGACGCTCAGGGGAATTGCACAACAGGTAATCATCAGGACAATCATGTAAGACTGGACACCTGGATCTTCATTGCCACTGAATACATCTGGACCACATGATGTTTTCAGACCATGGGGCCAGTATCTGGTTGGGAGGAGATGAAAGTCATTTTCACATTTGAGATTTGAGTAATCTTTTGAGCCCCTCTTAGTATGTTTTACATTTGTTCATATAAAATAACACAGAATAATTTCTGATGTCACACAACATTCTGACCAAGATAAGATTTGACAAACACATGACAAAGCAGTTGCGCTCAGAATTGATTTAGGCTTCAACATCTGAATACCCTTGTACACATATCCTGCTCATTGTTCACCATCTCCTAAAAATAAATGCCAAATGAAAGATTTAATGACTTGTAGATTAAAAAAGATCAATGATCCACGTAACTCATTTCTCATTGAAAGAAAGAAAGCCAAATCACTGACTCTTCCCTATCAACATTCTTGACGAAAGCTAGCCACTCTTTATGTGAACATATACATAAGTTTATTTTTTAGTTATGTTGGAAAGCTGCTGAAAATGATGAGAATTTAAGTCCAACACATCTGAAGGACATCACCTTGCTCCTTTGTTTCCAGTGATGTTACTCTGTACCATCCCCTCATACTTACCTACTCCAGCCAAAGATTGGTGGTGCTGTCCAGGTACAAGACCATATCCAGGAGAAGAAAATACCACCAAGAGCCATTTTAGCATCAAACTTGACATTTCCAAAAGGTTTGCAAACAACAACCCAGCGCTCCCAGGAAATAATGGCCAAAGACCAGAGAGCTGTAATGCCTGGGAAGGAAGAGCAGAAGAGGATAATAATATGCGCAGAGCTCTATTAGGTGCGTGTGTGTGCGTGTGTTTGTGTGTTATATGTAATCTATCATATAGAAATTCAGTTTCTGGCCTGCTAAATCATTTATATGAAACAGCATCAAGGGTCAGAAAACTGAAATGGTTATACTGAAACCTTTACAACATATTCTGCCAGATGTGTCCTGTAATGCATGGGATTAACAGGGAAGCAACTCAGGGACATGGAGAGAAAAGGAGCAGCATGATGGGTGATCTCTGAGGACAAAAGGATTATAGGATGTGCTTATATTAGGGGGAAGAGGATAAAACTGTGACCTGAAGGGAAGAGATTGGGGTAACAAGGGATTAAGCAGAAAACATGACGAATAAGTACTTCTTACCACAAGCAGAGACAGTATAACCCTCCAAAACACACATAGGATGGCCAAGGATGAAATAGCCAAAGACCTGGTTGATGACACTGATGGTGCTAGCAATAACTGTTTCACCCAAATCAGCTATAGCCAAGTTCACCAAAATCCAGTTGAGCGGATGCCGTAATTTCTTGAATTTGGCTGTGGCCACCAATACCAAACCATTGGTAAAGACTGAAGCAATGACAACAAAGATCATCCAGAGTGAAGTTAAGTTGTAGATCCATCGTGGTGCAATATGATAGTTTGGACCTTCAAAAGGGTCTGCCAGAAGATGGACAAAGTTAAATATTAGAAGGATCTCAGCAAGCATAATAGCATCTTGGGCAAATCAATCAGGGATGCATTCTGCTAAAATAAGACAAAGTCCCTATTCTTGTAAATAATTCAAGAGTTCATCCATAGGAAAGTATATACATCTCTATGACTTATAGTATACTAAGACCATCACTGTCACTTCCATCCTTCTACTGGGACTACTTGGAGGCCTTCCTTATCCAGAACCGTTCCAGTGGCAACTAGCAAATTCTATTTCTGGGACCCCTCTTCCAAAGACATTTAATTGCCAAGGTTGAAGTCAGCTGAAGAAAGCCCACCTACTTGCCCTGTTCTTGTAAAAGTTTATCCTGTGAACCAATCTTACCCTGCCCACCTACCCCTGTTCTGAGGCCCTTGCCAAACTCACCACGGGTATTGTTGCTGTTGGTGTAAGCAAATAAAGTTTCCTTAGTGGTATCTTCATCATCGTTGCGCCGCCGAGCAGCAAACACTGCCACATTCCAGGCCTCTGTCATGGCCTTGATTACTGTCTTCCCCCTTGTTTGCGGTTCTTGCCCTCTTCCTCTCTCCCACGTTCTCTTTCTTTCTTGGTTCTCTTTCTCGGTTCTCTTTCTTGTTGCTCTTTCTCTCAGCCCTTCATCAGCATCTCCAATCCAATAGTCTATGCTAAGGTTCAAAATCCTACCCATTTATATAACTGCCCCCCCCCAGAAGATTAAGCTTTCATCTTGGAGAACAAGATCCCCCAAAGCCCTTAAACGTTTTATCCCTTAATTGGGCTACAATGCTACAATTTGGCCCTCTCCCCTCCTTCTTTCCTTCTTCCTCCCCTCCTCCCCTCCTCCGTTGGTTGCACATTAACAGCTTGCACGTGTCCTACATCACCAATGGTATGTTTGCCGGACACTTCAGGTGAGAGATGAGCATGATGGAGGGATTAGAGAGTCAAAAGAACTCCACTAAGCTGATTCAGAATGGAATTTCCTTCCAATTTCTGAATGTCCCATTTTTGTACCTAGCTCCAACTTTATTGTAACAGAAGTGGTGCTTTTTCACTAAAGATAATGCCCTTGCAACTACCCCAAGAAATGAACTTCAAAATCTTTTTACATAGATCTACAAATATAGATGAGGGGTCTTTAGTGTTCTCTGAGCTTGGTTGTTTTCTTGCAGACATTTCAATAGTCAAAGATCATGTTACCTATTTTGGGTAATAAAACAACTGCAAGAAAGCAACCAAGCTCATCAAGGACCACTTATTTCAAGTCTGCCCTACAAATATTCTCCTTTATCGGAAACATAGATGGACATAACCTGTGAAGTATAATGGCATTATCCCTAGCCTATTCAAATTATGTCCAAACACTCATCACTTCAAGCACAAAGTAATCTTTCTCATTCCCAACACTAGATATTAATTATATCATAGACCAACAATTATTGAAGGGTCTTTAGGATCTTTATCAGCAAGAAATTCTAAACACATGCTCAAGAGACTACTATCATTGGTTGACATACAAATAACTTAAAGACCTAGCAAATATTTTTTGAAAATCTAACCTCAAAGAATTGCAATATATGCATTGCTCTTACAGAGAGTTAACTGAAATTACGAGGTAAATAAAAATAATGTAATTCATTGTGCATATTGGAATGCCTCCCTACAAAATCCCAGCCGATACCTGTGGTTTTTAAATATTAGCTTTTCAAATTATTATTTTGAGATGGAAGTTCTTCAGAGCAAAATGTGTGTTTCAGTACTGCCACAATTCATTATACTGAAGACTTTTATACCCTCATAAATCCAGGGATAACTGGAATTGACAACAGTGGACAAGTGGATGTCAATAGATTGCTTTGAACATTTCCAGTTTTCCACAAACTGAAAAATAGGAAGGAATAGACACAGAGTTATTGCCTATGAAGCAGTAAGAAGAGAGGGATAGGATGATCTAATAAGTTGGAAAGATGATGTTGAGAAATGTTTATGAAGGTAGGATGGTGGAAAGAAGGAGGAGAAGAATCAAGGGGATATTTCCCCTCCCCACCCGTGTGTGTGTGTGTGTGTGTGTGTGTGAGAGAGAGAGAGAGAGGGGGGGGAGAAAGAGAGGGAGGGAGGGAGAGGGAGAATGAAATAACTGGATCTTGTACATGATGGGGCTAAGAAGTAAAACAAGGAGATCATTCAAGATCAGTGAGAGAAATATGCATTTGAAAAAATATATTTGTATTTTAGATTCTGACCCCAGCTGAGTTTAGAATTCAGATTCTTGGAGATGCTGCCTTTTCATCTTTATCACATTGCCCTACGTTCAACAGATGTTCTATAACAAGATAAATCCCATCAAAACATTTTTTGTGAAAGACTCACATGCATAGGCATCATGGTATTTTCTCAAAATTGTATTCATGCCCACTAGCTTCACAAGACTAGACATCTATTGAAATGCCTTTTGTTTTGAAGTTTTGTCAAACATTTTCATACCTTCTTGCTTATGCCTGCATCTTGGCATCTTTCCATATCTTCTGAAGTCAACCAAGTCTAAACTAATCCTTCTATCTTCTTAGTGGTATGTATGATGGCACATTATCTATCTTGAGACCATCATATTACAAGTATTCCAAGAAAAACAAACATTTTAGGCCAGTGCAATTTTGAGAGCATGTTATGTGGTAGATATATATGGAAGCAGATGACTTGTCTACACACAGAATAATGGCCACAGTGAGTACTATCAGCTTCAAAATATCATTTAACAAAGAAGCTTCATCCTATCCTCTCTTAGTCTTTCAATTTGCTCTCCACAACCAGAATTTATCTATTTCAGGATTGAGGACACCTTTCAACTTTTCTAAAAAGGGGTATTTCTCTTTGATTTACCAATTTCTTTTCAGCCTGACCTGAATTCCCATGGTTTTCTTGAAAAAAAAAACTTTCTAGAGTTCTGGATTCTTAAAAACAACAACCCTCAACTCCTTAACCTCTAAATAATTAAGACCTCCTTGAGACATTTTTCTGCCTGATACCAACCGGCAGAATAGTGCCATCATCCCTTAATCCCTAGTCAAGATACATTAAGTCCCAGGCTGTCAAGTTATTTTTGTTGCTAGGCAGAAAATTCTGTAAATACCTCTCTCCTAAAACAACAACAACATAATACATTAAGTAGTACAGATGTAACACATCCTGAGTATACTCCTAGCATTCGTAGTTGAGGATATGTAGGGAAGAATATGCTGGTTTGCATGATAGTTTCTAAATCAGAGATCCAAGCTTTCACAGAACATTATGAACATCCTTGGGGTAAAATGGGTCTTTACTTATGATTTAGGGTTTAAATATGCCCAAACTTATTGGTACTGTCCTTACTGTTAACTGGGAATGCTATGTGCAGCATGGACATAGTTAAGGTTGGTAACCTAGCCCACCCCATCTCTATCTTCTCCAAAAACATTAGGTAAAAGTTTTGCAAAATGGTTTTTGCCTCTTTGAATGGCTTCCAGCAGCCTGTGCTCTTATCTTCTTGCTTATGATACGCTTCCACATAAATAAGGGAGCTGGGTGAATTTGGTTGTTTTCCTCTATTTAGATTCTTCCTTTCTTCCCATTATAAATTCATTCTCTTGTACTGCTCATTGTTTTATACTCTAATTTAATAAGTGACTTAAATATATATTTAGAATATTTAGCATTGCTAAGTATCTTTGAGGATGAAAAAAAGTTGTGTGTGTGTGTATGTAAACTATGATAGATCAGTGCTAGGTTACATTTGTGCATGCAGTGGTGGAAGTAATTGAATTTGGATTTAATGTGCTCAACCTTCCAAAAATCAAAATGGAATTGATGACTTGTAATGCATGCTGGTAAACAGAATAAGAATCTGAGTAGATTCAGAGACTAGTCCCTGTTTACATGAGTAAGAATACTCTTCCTTGTAAGGGGCATGCATAAGTGCACCATCGTACCTACCGTCCCTGTCCTATTGTCTCCATTTATTCGTACCTATTTCCTGTATTCTTACTCATGTTTATACTTATATCTATTATCTTGTAAGTGATTGACAAATGAAATAAAAATAAAATAGACTGTATCATATCTTGTACTTCATTGGCTTCATTGGCTTCATTCTTAATAAGAGGTAATACTTCATTTTTGGATAGACCAAGTCTATCCAAAAATTTATTTTCACCTTGAAAGGCAAACAAGTCTTACTTATTTAATATATTTGTTATTCTGGCTTACAGGCTGCTTCAAACATGAGCCAATATATGTGGCTTATGTGGCCAGTTCCAGTAGAAAGTATTAAAAGCAATAAATATGATAAAAATAACAACAGTTCTGACATCACATGGTTTGCCAAGCAACAATATAAATCTGCAATAGAAAAAAGGAAAGAACTGTGTAGAATGGGATCCATCATATGGCTTACTAAATATTCTAAACCCCTAAACCCCAGTTGCTGTCTAATTTTAGGGGGGATGCTGTTCCAAAGAAGAGGGAACGTCTAGCCCCATGGTCTCAGATGAAAACATTCCCCCAGCAGACAGGCCTACAGGCTTTCTCCCTTTCAGATACAGTATTTTGAATACACAGATACCACCCAAGATTGAGAGCCAACGAACTTTAGATAGAAATTTCCTGTTGATCTTAACTGCCTTCAGAAACCATTTTTACATTAAACCTGAGGGTTTTGCCTGAGGTTATTTTGCATATACAAAAATCTGGCTTTAAAAATTATGAGTTAACTTGGGGATTCACAGTATATTTGCAATGGATAAATGAAACAAATCTCAGGGCAGCCTTGTGATATACGGCATATATGAATATGTTTTAATAGGAAATTCATTATTAAATAATACCATCAGTGCTCAGGTAGGAAGTGTCTGCAGATTTGGAAGAACCCAAGTTTACAGAAATATAAAAATGTTTGGGGAAGAGGGAAGAAAGTGAGAAAGGATCAGAGAGAGAGAAAGTAAAAAAGAGACAGGAGTATTGTGGCTGGTACAATTCAACATTGAAGTTCATTTTGGTTTTGTTCTTTGTGTGTAATATGTTAAATGACAGGTAGTTAGAGACAGGAAATCCCCCCCCCACACATAGACACATACTTGAAGCAATGTGTAAATCATGGTTTATAACCAAGATGCTAGGAATGGCAAGTCATCAATATCTGGAGGACCAGAGGTTCCTCATTTCTTTGGAACAAAAGTGGTGAAGCGTCTATTTCATTATCACTGGCCCAAGCAACTGACAGTATGAATAGATTTTCTAGTTTGTGTTATATTTTATGACTGCTAAGTTTAAAAGGAAGATAATAAATCTTGTACTTTAGGATTTGCGGGTCTCTTTGGTACTCTGGCTGTTTTCCTGTGCAATTCACATCAAAGGCAATATAGAATATTCTTGTTAAAAGGGCAATTACAAAATTACATGAGTGGATATATTGACAAAGTGTTGCGATAGCCAATGTTTCCTGTTATTACCTCAGCTATGTAATGCTTAATGTCCTTCTCATATGTTTATATAGACTTATCTTTTTTACTGTGAGTCTAAATCATTTCCTAAATATCTAATT